AGCCGTTGTGTACGGTGGCACAATATTTAGTACTTGTATTCCATTTGTATTCTGTTTGTTTATAATATACAAAACTACATACCGAATTTCAGAATTATGCTTTTTCTCACACAATGCAATATTTTGTATTTTTGGTGCCATTTAGTACGAATTTTGAATAAACCAAGTTTCTTATTTGTACTAAGAGTTGGACATTTTTGTACTCTAAATTTACATTTATATATTTTACCATTCAGTGTGGTACAATATTTAGTACAATTTTCTAAAAATATTTATTTAATAGTTAAGCTACATACTAAATTACAGATTTCAATCTCTAACTTTTCCATTATTACTCTAACTTTTCCATTATACCATTTTAGTACTAATTTCAAAAATATATTACTGTATAGCATAGTATTTGTAATAGTTAAATCTATATACGGTGTTGCAGATTTCTGTTCCTTCCGGTTCCATTAAGTTCCAGAGCAAGGTACATACTAAATTTCAGATTTCTATTTCTACCAGTTCCATTGTATTTTATTATTTAGTACTTTTAATTACTAAATTACTAAATTTGTAATAGTTAAAGCTATATGCGATGTTCCACAACTTTTTAATATATTCTATTACTAATTTAAAAAATATGTTTGCCCATCATTCTATTTGTAATAGCTTAAGTTACATACCAAATTACAGATATCTATCCCTACCTGTTCCATCGTAGTATAATATTTAGTACTTTTTAGTATCTTTAGTACTAATTTTTGCATATCATTCTATTTGTAATAGCTTAAGCTCCATATCCCTACCTGTGGCATCGTAGTACAATATTTAGTACCTTTAGTACTAATTTCCAAAAATTGTTCACATATTGTGATTAGCTTATCATTGACAAAGCTGCATAGCAAATTTCAGAGTTGTACTTCCAACTGTTCCGGCGTAATACAATTTTTAGTACTATTTAGTACCTTTTTAGTACTAATTTCTAAAAAAATATTTTTGCGCCTCATTATATTTGTTATAGCTTACGCTAGATACCAAATTTCAGATATATATCTCCACCAGTTCCATTGAAATATAATATTTAGTACTTTTTAGTATCCTTAGTACTAAATTTCAAATTTTTTTTACACATTCCACTTAGCTCGTCATAGACAAAGCTACGTACCAAATTTCAGTCTTTCAAGTCTAACCATTCCCGCGCAATTCAGTTTTTAGTACTTCTTAGTACCTATTCGTACGTTTCTAGCTTTAGCCGTTTCGTCTGGGCGTTGATGATCAGTCAGTCACTTATAACGCAACTCTTTTATATATATATATATATATATATATATAGATTAATTAATTACACTGTGCGACACGAAAAATTTACAGGGGTTCTAATGAACCAATTCAGTTTAGTTGGAGTCTCTGGACAACGAAAATACCTTTGGTTTTTCTGGGTCACTTCGAAAATTAATTTTATAACGGTAAATATAGAGAAAAACGTGGTTTCATGGATTTTCAATTTGAAAATTGAATAACTTATTTACTTTATAACGGATATATATTATTTCTTTTTTCTTTCGAAGAGTACATTTTTTCCTTTCAAACAAGATATATATTTGGTAAATCGGTTGAGGATTGGCTGAGTTACAGCGGTTGAAATGTGAAAAAATACGCATAAAATGACAAAATTTATTTTTCTTCGGACTGTACGATGAAATTATGATATCAAGCCATTTAAGTTTTATTATATTCCCAATTTGTCATATGTAACTACCGCCAGTCTGCAACTCGCTCTATTGTTGCTGGTGTTCCTCAGGGTTCCATTTTGGGCCCATTGTTGTTCATGTTGTATGTGAATGATGTGTGTCTTTCCGTCCAGCATGCAGACTTGGCAATTTATGCCGATGATTTTCAGCTATTTAGTACCAGCTCATCAGGCATTGTGGATTGCGTCTCCAGATTGGATGGTGATATTGGTCGCATATGTGAATGGGCACAACGTAACAAGTTGAGTATTAATGTTTTTAAAACCAAGTTTGTGGTTTTTAATAGATCTCGCCATGATGCGCCCCACAGTATAATGGTTCAAAATAATATAATTACATCATCTAATAAGATTTCTTCCCTTGGGTTCACAATTGACAACAGTCTTCAGTTTAGTTCTCACATTCCTCACGTCTGCTCCAAACTAAATCTAATTCTTAAGAAGTTGTATAGCCTGAATGTTTTTTTGCCAACTCAGATAAAGTACATGTTGGCTCAATCTTTACTCATGCCTCATTTACTGTACGGCGTTGAAGTGTTTTCGGGTACTAATAAAAATAATATACATAATCTCATATCCTGTTTTCACAAAATTTTAAGGTTTGTTTACGGTAGACGTTGTCGAAATAATTATTCAAGCTTCTCATTTATTTTTCTGGGCACATCATTCGAACATTACTTTCAATTGAGATGTCTTTGCTTTTTTTCAATCTACTTAAACGTAGGGAGCCGTCATATCTGCCTCCCTATTTTCAATTTTTAAATACCTCAAGGAATCCTCAAATTCGCGTTGGATCTTTTATTACCTGTACCTATGAAAAGTCTTTCACTGTACGAGTTGCAAGATTGTGGAACTCCTTACCTCCTAATGTTGATAAATTGATAAATTACTGGAATGACCATACTTAGCAATTTTTGTTTCCATATCCATCGACATTGAGAAAGTTTACCATGTCTATAATACTTAGCTTTTTGTTTACATTCTTGTTTTCAAAAAAATGTGAGTTAGGGTTTTAGGTTTTATGATTATATTTAATATTTTTTAGTATTTTTAAGAATTTTGTAACATCTATTATTTTCGAACTTACAACATATTGTCCGCGTCGGGCTGGGTTGTTGAAAACAATAAATAAATATTACGGGGAAGAAAATTAAATTAGCTTTCGAAACTGATAAAAATCAAAAAAATCGGTTAAAAAATGTATGACTCTAAAGGAACATAACGGTTTGTAACAGGAAACGATACAGACCAATATTTCCTTTAGAGAATTCCTTTAGAGAATCAACATAAAAATGTGTATAAGTCATACATTTTTTAACCGATTTTTTTGATTTTTATTTAATTTAATTTTCTTCCCCGTAATATAATAAAACTTAAATGGCTTGATATCATAATTTCATCGTACAGTCCGAAGAAAAATAAATTTTGTCATTTTATGCGTATTTTTTCACATTTCAACCGCTGTAACTCAGCCAATCCTCTACCGATTTACCAAATATATATCTTGTTTGAAAGGAAAAAGTGTACTCTTCGAAAGAAAAAAGAATAAATCCGTTATAAAGTAAATAAGTTATTCAAATTTCAAATTAAAAATCCATGAAACCACGTTTTTCTCTATATTTACCGTTATAAAATTAATTTTCGAAGTGACCCAGAAAAACCAAAGGTATTTTCGTTGTCCAGAGACTCCAACTAAACAGAATTGGTACATTAGAACCCCTGACAAATTTTTTTTTGTTATTTTGTAGCACAGTGTTATTATTAATTTGTTTTATTGTAATGATAAGTTCCTCAAATTTTATAGCGTTTTTTTAATACTGTTTTAATAACCACGATAACATGATGGAATAACTTTTTTTAATTATTTATAAATATTAAGCGATTTCCGCTTGCTCTTCGAGTATAATCTTAGTTGCAATCAGAATTTTTGTTTGGGTTTCTGTAAATAATTACTACGTTTACTAGTATTGATTGTCAAGTTTGTGAATGCAGATGCATTATTTTGTTATCGTGATTATGATGTTGCTTGTTTTATTTCATAAGCGGAGGATTTTTGCATTATTTTTTAATAAATGTGGTCTGCGGACTTTCAAATTTTTATGAATAAATAAATTAAATAAAATTTCTCAAACAATACAAAATTCCTGGATTCATGGGGAAATCAACCCCAAGATGCTTAATCTAACTAACTTTCTTTTCATCTCTAGAGTGCACGACAAGCCTCAACTGGCTTAAGTGTATGCCATTTTTTGTTGGATATGTGGTGGTGTAATGTACCAATCTTGTCAAACTATGGATATGGATGGAGTATTTTCCATACCACTAATCGTTTTGATATTAAAAACATGTGAACCTTCGTCAAGTGGTTTTCCACTTAATAAGTTACCTACCAAAAACCTGAACCTACGTCGATACAATTTTGCAATTTTGGTACCCATTGAGAACTCTCTGTGCCAAATTACAGTCAATTTGATTGTAAAATGTGGCTAATAGATAAAAATTAGGGGCTTAACTCTAGTTTAGTTAAAAAGATCTGATTTTTCTGAAAAATTTTGCAGAGGGAGGTATTTTTACCCTTATTATGGGGATATATTTTTTCTTGTGAGATCCGATTAATAAAAAATGGGTATCCATTGAGTGGTCTATCTCAAACCGATTTGGAGATACAGCCAAAAACTCTGTTTTGGACCCCGATTTTTTTTTTTTTTTTGAAAATCACCCTAAAAGTGGTAAATGAGTCTATTATACTCCCTCACCAATCCTGAGTCAAATGATACACAATTTGCCTGCCCCAAAATGGTGCTATATGTCGCTGTATCTGTTGTGGATCAAAAGATATGGGTCTTATAACCCTACAAAGACAAGGAAATTCTGTCGCGTAGCCGTATCTGTCCATAGGAGTCTTAAATCTCCGGAAAAAAACAGGCCACACCAAACTATCTATTTAACAGGAGTTTCTGCCGCGTAGCCGATGTTGGTATTGGTATTTGTTTTTTTACTATATCTCAAAATGGTCCCTTATCAATGGAAAATTATTTTTATAAGCTTTAATATGATACTCATTTTATATTAGCCGGATCCCTAGAACCGGTTACCCGTATCCTTCCGGGTGCACCAATTTTTTAACAATAATCAAAATAGGATTACTTTTATTTCGATTTGTTCCTGAGTTGTTCCCAAATGACGAATATAAACATGAGTATTTTGGATTTCAAAATATTTTTTTTATTTCATTGTAGGTATGTCTACTGTAGACAATGTAAATTTATGCTGAATTCCCAGTCAATTTCGCCATGAGTTTCTGTTCTTTCGCTTGCCTCTTTGCTTCTCTTTGAAGCTTCTTCTCTTCTCGTTCCTTCTGTTCAAGTACTTCTTTGAACCTTTCATCGCGAGGATCAACTTTATATCCAAAGTGCCTTCGCACCTCTTCTACTAGCCGTTCTTTTCTCTGTTTAGCTGCAATAGCATCTGCTTCTTTTTTCAATATTTTGTTTTGCAAATCTTTTTTCCATTGTTCAAGTTTTTCCATATTTTGCGCAATGGCTTCCTCGCGACTTTTGATTTCTTGGACTTGTTTTTGCTCTTCCTGCCTTGATTTCATAACCATGTCAGAAAATGACTTTGGTTCAATTTCTTTCTCATAAATGCACTGCAACTTAAAGTCAAAATTATTTGGAAAACATATCCGTGGGTCTACACCACTTTCGGATCCATACCGGGCAAAAACCTTTCTCTGGTATTTTTCTGTTAGGTGTATCCATGAGTGGGGCTCTTTGTATGGTGTTTTATTATGAAGAATATTCCTATGTTGTTGCAGAAGTCCAGATTTGTCACGTTTAACAGTAACCTTCTCACTACCCACTTCAAAAACATCAGGAGGCTGCACCTTTTCTACATTATCTTCAATGGCAGATGCATTAGAAAATCGCTGTCGCCGCACGATATTTAGAATATTCACTTCCAGTGTTTTTCTAACACCCAAAACATTCATGTTGGATAACAAAAATGTACTAATTTTAACGAGGGTTTAATGTTTTATTTACTTGGTCTTCAAACAGGGCGACTATGGTATATTCAATATTGCATAACCTTATTTTAAACTGAGCGAGGACATGAGCCCTATCTTACAACAAAAACTACTATAGATCATTGATATGTCAAAAATAATCTTAAAAAACCGATTCATTCGTTTTTTGACACACATTAATTAAGTTAATAATAATAAAATTTAGTTAAATTAAAGGTTTTAGTTAAATTAAAGTTTTTCACTCATCATTCTGTTATTTATTTATTGGTTTCAAGGCACAACAATTTATTTGGCAGTACTCTGTATCAACAAAACAGCTGTTGCTGTTACCTTTTCATTATATTTCCACCAAGGTAGATGTATAAGGTAGCCGCATCGGCGAATTTCTAAAACAAACATCGGTTGTTGTAATTTGTTATGTCAAAAATATTTTGCCAAAACAGATTCATAAGATTTTTTAAACGAATTCTTGTAGAAAATGTTAATAAAAGTATTGCCCAACAAGCTCTTCAAAATTCAGAGATTTTCATTTATAATTTTGTTTTTTAATTTTTTGGTTCTACCAAGGTTATTTAATATGGTAGCCGCATCGGCCCAGCTGTTGGACAAATAAATGTCAAAAATGTTGTTGTAATGTTGAACCAAAAAATTAAAAAACGAAATTATAAATGAAAATCTCCGAATTTCGAATAGATTTTTTGGCAATACTTTTATTAACATTTTCTACAAGAATTTGTGTGAAAAAATCTTGTCAATCTGTTTGTTTTGGCAAAATGTTTTTGACATATCAAAATACAACAACCGATGTTTGTTGTAGAAATTCGCCGATGCGGCTACCTTGTATATCTACCTTGGGTTCTACATTACAACAACATTTTTGACATATATTTCCACCACACACGTAAAATTTGCCTAGTCGCTTTCGATTAAAATAATTTTATTACTATAACAGGGTGATTCAGAAGAGATAAATTACAATGTAAGGATGTACACACCTTCACTATCTACAGCGATGTACACGAAATAGTAATGGTGTTTTTACACGATATGTATTTTACATATGTGCTGTCACTTATTTCATCCATATGTAATTCCTTATGTGTGTCAAAATTAGCAGTGTACACAAAACATTTATTTTTGTGTTCAAATCGGCATATGCATTTTACATATGACATAACCTATAAACAAAAAAACACTTTTATTTTTTCTTAAATCAACATCATTTTTTTATTAAACACCTACAAACGAAAAAATAATTTGTAATTGTTGCCTTTTCATCCTTTTTTTTGAATTGCAATTGAAATATTTTCTTCCAACAATGTGTTTCATTCAAACAGCTGATTTCCTTATGTTTCACATACGAAAATAGAGCGCGTCCTATTCGGAAAAAAATACATATGTAATTGCATCTCGTTTTGACACATTGAAATTTCCGTATGTTTCACATGACGAGTTCGATTTTCCATATGTAAAAAAGTGACAGCACATATGTAAAATACATATCGTGTAGAAACACCATAAGATCTAGTACATGGCACAATGAATAGGTAGTCCATTTAGCGCAGCTGATGTCTTGATTAACAGTCAAAGTGGGTAATTTCTACTTGAATTCGTTGTGCAGTGTTTTTTTTAGTGGTGAACATGAGGGTCAATCTATCAAAGAAGCAACATTTGGGCAAGAGTGTCATTCAAAGGTGTCCACACCGCTTAACAAGCTGACAGTTTGGCCCAAAATCCGTTTGTTTGATAGTATGGCCGTCCATATATGCATCCACAAAAATATTTGGCATAAATGTAGGAGGGTAAATAAAGCGGTGTATAAACTATTACTTTGAAAAACACTCTTCAAAAAAAATTTCATTTCATTTATTTCATACATAGTAACGCATAAGCTAATATAGCCAAACAATTTTACATTACAATATACTAACTAACAATGTTGTAATATACAATAAAGAATTAAAAAAATATCTTATATACAATTATAAAAATGTTAATGCAATTTCCTTATAAAATTGGTTCCCCATGAAGTAAAATTAACAAAATAATATTAAAATAATAAAAAAGTACTAACTATTTTATGATAGCACTACTAAAAGAGCAGAGTCTAAACAATCACATTTGGTTTAGCGCAAATTCAGTATATCTGTCAATAAATATATGCACAGGATTTGAGAAGGTACGCTGAAGCAAGGGAAGTTGGTTCCAAATTCGTGCCACCCGAACAATAAATGATCGTTCAAAAATCAACGAGGAGAAGTGTGGAATTAAAAGTTGAGTATTACGAGTTGAGTGCAAGAATACAAATTTGTTACGTAAAGATACCGGACAGTTAGTCGATACAAAATTATAAAATATTTTTAATAAACGTTGCTTTATATATATATATATATATATATCAAATGGTACACCCAGAAAAAGCACTGAATAAGTTGAGACGTGGTCATGCCGATTTAACTTATAAACAAAACGCAATATCATATTATACAACCTCTCAATTTTCCTCAAATTAAAGAGACTGGTGCCGGAAACAATTTCAACACAATAGTTTATGGAAGACATCAGGAGAGCAAAGGCAAGACGTTTGCGAATAAATTTAGGTAGATACAAATTGTTACAATAAAGCCTGCGCAAAGTGGACACTACACCAGAATAAAGAACTTGAATATGACTAGCGAAGCTAAGTCTATCATCAATGATACAGCCTAAACATTTCATTTCATCTACAAGGGCAATTCTAGTTCCTCCAAGTAAATTTGAAAACTAGGAAATGAACTCCTCACTGGTTTAAAGAACATAGACCGAGCTTGTTTTGATAGTGGGTTCTCACATGTTCGTCATTTATTAGGCAACGAAAATATTAATAGTTTTTGGACAGTCAGTAATCGATAACATTAATTTTTTCACACAAATTAATTAAGGTAATGTAACAAAATTGTCTACTACGACACACCGAAATTATAGCAACCAGACAATGGCAGGCTTTAGCCTCCGAAACGAGAGCACAACATCTATTTCGTTTACGGTATAGGGCCATGATCTAAACAGGCAATTTGAAATCGGGTAATAGGCTTAAAATTATAACAACTCTATTATGTGATCTCCCGACATCTAAATACATATTTAATTTATATATATATATATATATATAAAGTAGTAAGTGATAGACTGACTTATCTATTCATCAGCGCCCAGACGAAACGGCTGAAGCAAGAATTTGGCGAAGGTAACTAAAAACTTGAATTTTAGGTGGGTTTGAAAGCATGTATTCATGTATACGAAAAGTACTATATTTGGTACAATTTTTAATTGGAGGTACAAATGGAATCCTGAAATTAGAAATTAACATTTATTTCATACATAGTAACGCATAAGCTAATATAGCCAAACAATTTTACATTACAATATACTAACTAACAATGTTGTAATATACAATAAAGAATTAAAAAAATATCTTATATACAATTATAAAAATGTTAATGCAATTTCCTTATAAAATTGGTTCCCCATGAAGTAAAATTAACAAAATAATATTAAAATAATAAAAAAGTACTAACTATTTTATGATAGCACTACTAAAAGAGCAGAGTCTAAACAATCACATTTGGTTTAGCGCAAATTCAGTATATCTGTCAATAAATATATGCACAGGATTTGAGAAGGTACGCTGAAGCAAGGGAAGTTGGTTCCAAATTCGTGCCACCCGAACAATAAATGATCGTTCAAAAATCAACGAGGAGAAGTGTGGAATTAAAAGTTGAGTATTACGAGTTGAGTGCAAGAATACAAATTTGTTACGTAAAGATACCGGACAGTTAGTCGATACAAAATTATAAAATATTTTTAATAAACGTTGCTTTATATATATATATATATATATATCAAATGGTACACCCAGAAAAAGCACTGAATAAGTTGAGACGTGGTCATGCCGATTTAACTTATAAACAAAACGCAATATCATATTATACAACCTCTCAATTTTCCTCAAATTAAAGAGACTGGTGCCGGAAACAATTTCAACACAATAGTTTATGGAAGACATCAGGAGAGCAAAGGCAAGACGTTTGCGAATAAATTTAGGTAGATACAAATTGTTACAATAAAGCCTGCGCAAAGTGGACACTACACCAGAATAAAGAACTTGAATATGACTAGCGAAGCTAAGTCTATCATCAATGATACAGCCTAAACATTTCATTTCATCTACAAGGGCAATTCTAGTTCCTCCAAGTAAATTTGAAAACTAGGAAATGAACTCCTCACTGGTTTAAAGAACATAGACCGAGCTTGTTTTGATAGTGGGTTCTCACATGTTCGTCATTTATTAGGCAACGAAAATATTAATAGTTTTTGGACAGTCAGTAATCGATAACATTAATTTTTTCACACAAATTAATTAAGGTAATGTAACAAAATTGTCTACTACGACACACCGAAATTATAGCAACCAGACAATGGCAGGCTTTAGCCTCCGAAACGAGAGCACAACATCTATTTCGTTTACGGTATAGGGCCATGATCTAAACAGGCAATTTGAAATCGGGTAATAGGCTTAAAATTATAACAACTCTATTATGTGATCTCCCGACATCTAAATACATATTTAATTTATATATATATATATATATATAAAGTAGTAAGTGATAGACTGACTTATCTATTCATCAGCGCCCAGACGAAACGGCTGAAGCAAGAATTTGGCGAAGGTAACTAAAAACTTGAATTTTAGGTGGGTTTGAAAGCATGTATTCATGTATACGAAAAGTACTATATTTGGTACAATTTTTAATTGGAGGTACAAATGGAATCCTGAAATTAGAAATTAACATTTATTTCATACATAGTAACGCATAAGCTAATATAGCCAAACAATTTTACATTACAATATACTAACTAACAATGTTGTAATATACAATAAAGAATTAAAAAAATATCTTATATACAATTATAAAAATGTTAAT